TGAATCCAAGACCAACTCTTAAGAGGTGCAAGTTCTGTGAACCCAAGGCATATGGGAGTTAGCATTAGGCCTCTACTATCGAGGCAAATGGGAGGTTCATGTGCCCGATGGAACCCACTAGAAAAAGCAACAAACAAGAAAAATTCCAGGTAAACTGAAATTGCTTATTTTGGTTGTCGGCCAATATTTTGTGAACTGAAGTTGGCCTTTACTGTAGTTTAATAGTTTCTGGTTGTTGGCCAATATTTTGTGAAAGTGTAATCGGCAGGCCTTGAATTCTTCTTTTGTTATCAGTCAACTGGGTATCTTATTATTTTTTCACCATAGATTCCTTAACTATATTTCCAGTTTCAAAGTGCTAAATATTTGGTTGTTGCTCAGAACTAAGCAATCATGAGCTAACTCCTCCCAAATATTAATATAATTGAATTAATGTTTGTATTTTTGGAAGAAAAAATGTTTGTAGTTAATTTAGGTTTAAAGTCACTTTTTGTCACTGTAGTTTGGCATTTCAACCACTTTTGATCCTATAGTGTCATATTTACATGTTAAAATTTCCATCAATTTCTTTAATGGAGCAACCACATGCCCCTCACATGGGGGGCAATTTTGTTGGCCCAAAGCCCCACGTAAAAGCTCGTCTCTACCTCTTCCCCAGGGTGAGTGAAATTGCCCATTTTGAAGCATATTAGGATTAGGGCTCTTAAAAATTTAGTGAAATTCGTCTAGGTTTTCGATTGATCAAGGGTGCAAAAATATTAGCAGAACTTCAATCGGTTGTTTCCGTAAAGAAGCAAGGACGATGTTGAAGAAGAGAGGTGAAGTCAATGGAGGCTTCAATAATTCAGGTGAACTCAAAATCTTTAAAGGTTTAGTTTTCTGTTTTATAACTTTTATTCGACTTTTCAATGCATATAAGTGGGTTCCAACTCTTTTGTTTATTCCATTCTTTTGTGGCCTTGTTTTGTTGTTTTTTTGGTTCCAATGGCCTTGTTTTGTTCTGTAACTTCGAGTTTGGAAAGTTATTGCTTTGTTGCTTTGGCAGTTACTGCTTGAGATGGTGGTTGAAAATTTTATAAAATATTGTGTGTGTATTGAGAGTGGTCCCATACATGTTTGAACCAGTAGTAAAGCCTTTAGGAAACACAATGGTCCTCTATTTGCATAAAGTAAAGCAATATGCATGCCATTTGTTATTTAATAGCTTTGAATGCTTTGATTCACATAAAGTAAAGCAATATTTTCAATCTCATAGCGTTGATTTTTCAGATGCTGGCCCTCCACAATTTCCTTATGTCTAAGCATTTGATGAGGTTCCAGATGAATATTTTGATGATATTTTTAATCAAGCTTCACAAATTTCCGGCAAGAAGTGGGTAATGACAACGTGGGAACAATACAGGTGTCTGTGTATGGACATGATATTGGCAATGAAGATAGGATATAGGTACCTGTCAATGTTGATGATGAAGAGGATAGTGAAGAAGACTTTGACGCTGATGGTAGGAGGAGAGTAAGAGATCTTCAAGACAGTGGTGATGAATCAGATAAAGATAAAGAAATATATGAAAGTGATAATGATGCTGCCACTTCAAGACCAACTCCCCTTATACCCACTCCAAGGCCTATTCCTAATATGCAAATTGGAAATTCAAGTTCTGTGAATCAAAGACAAATTGGGGTGCAAGATCAATGAATCCAAGACCAACTCTTAATATGCAAATGGGAGGTGCAAGTTCTGTGAACCCAAGGCATATAGGAGTTAGCATTAGGCCTCCACTATCGAGGAAAATGGGAGGTTCAAGTGCCCGATGGAACCCACTAAAAAAAGCAACAAACAAGAAAAATTCCAAGTCAACTGAAATTGCTTATTTTGGTTGTCGGCCAATATTTTGTGAACTGAAGTTGGCCTTTACTTTATAATGTAGTTTAATAGTTTCTGGTTGTTGCCCAATATTTTGTGAACTTTCTGCTAAAATCTGAAAAATATGGAGAGGATGGAGAGAATCACGAATGTATTTCCTGGTTTCTTAAAACTTGATTGCTTTCTATCACTTACAGCAGGAATTTATACGAGAAGCAGGCTCGCTAATCAAGCTCAATATTAATTACAGCTGGTCTTGAGCTCCTAATTGTTGAGCCCCTAATCCTGGAGATTGCAGCAGCCTCTCAAGTCAAGCCAACCACATTAATGCATTCAATCTACAACTAGTCTAGCTAACACTCTCCCTCAAGTTAGTGCATAGATATCGCCAATGCCCAACTTGACCAATGAGTTGTGGAATACTTTGCAAGAAATTGTCTTTGTTAATATATCAGCGAACTGGTCTTCTAACTTGACAAATTGGGAGCAAAATTTCTTTAGCCTCAAGTTTCTGCTTAATGAAATGTTGATCCACTTCAACATGTTTAGTGCGATTGTGTTGAACTGGATTGTGTGCAATGGATATTGCAACCTTGTTGTCACACTGCAAGTGCATTTCTGACGTAGGCGCATATCCAATTTCTTTACCCAAAGGAGTTCGGAAATTTCTTTGGTCATACTTCTGAATTCAGCTTCTGCACTAGATAAGACAACTACATTTTGTTTCTTGCTTCTCCAAGTAACCATGTTACCTCCCACAAATGTAAAGTAACCTGATGTCGCGATTGTCTATCAGTGACATTCCTTGCCCAATATGCATCTGTACAACCAATGATATTTAGATGATTATTTCTATAAAACATAAGTCCTTTTTCTAGCTGCCAACTTTAAATATTTAAGAATTCAGAGAACCGCATTCATATGGTCTTCACTTGGACAATGCATAAACTGACTAACAATACTCACAGCATACGCAATGTTTGGTCGGGTATGTGACAAGTAGATCAATCGCCCTACTAATCTTTGATATCTTTCTTTGTTAGTGGGTACTTAATCAGGATACTCTCCAAGATGGTGGTTCTGGACAATTGGAGTGTCCACGGGTGCAATCAAGCATTCCTGTTTTGCCAATAACTCCATAACGTACTTTCTTTGAGAGAGAAATATGCATTGTTTCGATCAAGCAACTTTAATACCCAAGAAGTATTTGAGTCCACCAAGGTTCTTCATCTCAAACTCTTTTGCCAATAGTCTTGTAGCAGGGAGATTTCCTACTTATCATTCCCAGTAATAATCAATCATCAACATACAATGTGAATTTACCATATTATTTTCATTTAATTAATAATTTCAATTCTTAATGTTTGCATTAACTAAGGGCATTTTCTGGTATTTTGAATGTTTTACCATTCTCTGCCTTTTGCTTTATATATATAGATCACTTACAACAAAAATTTATACAAGAAGTAGGCTTGCTAACCAAGCTCAATATTAATTACAAGTAGGTAGATTGTAGCTGGTCTTGAGCTCCTAATCCTTGAGTCCTTAATCCTGGAGACTAGAGTAGCCTCCCAAAGTCAAGCCAACCACATTAATGTAGCCAACCTACAACTGGTCTAGCTAACACTTTCTTATTTTGCTATACTGTAACAGGCCTTTAATTCTTCTTTTGTTATCAGACATGCTTTTTTTTTGGCTGCAAGTGTAAGACCCCTGTTTTGGGTATAATGCAATCAGATTTGACTAAAAGAAGTTTCGATCAAGCAACTTTAATACCCAAAAAGTATTTGAGTCCACCAAGGTTCTTCATCTCAAACTCTTTTGCCAATAGTCTTGTAGCAAGGAAATTTCCTACTTATCATTGCCAGTAATAATCAATCATCAACATACAATGTGAATTTACCATATTATCTTCATTTAATTAATAATTTCAATTCTTAATGTTTGCATTAACTAAGGGCATTTTCTGGTATTTTGAATGTTTTACCATTCTCTGCCTTTTGCTTTATATATATAGATCACTTACAACAAAAATTTATACAAGAAGTAGGCTTGCTAACCAAGCTCAATATTAATTACAAGTAGGTAGATTGTAGCTGGTCTTGAGCTCCTAATCCTTGAGTCCTTAATCCTGGAGACTAGAGTAGCCTCCCAAAGTCAAGCCAACCACATTAATGTAGCCAACCTACAACTGGTCTAGCTAACACTTTCTTATTTTGCTATACTGTAACAGGCCTTTAATTCTTCTTTTGTTATCAGACATGCTTTTTTTTTGGCTGCAAGTGTAAGACCCCTGTTTTGGGTATAATGCAATCAGATTTGACTAAAAGAAAAAGCACTCAAATGTTCATTGTGAAATAGCAATCAGATTTAACAATCATAAAAGAAAGATACTAAATTCTTGGTTTTATTTTTATTTATTTATTATTTATTTTATTTATTTTATTTTATAGAAAAATACGTCATTAGAAAAGCCCCGGAAAGGCCAAAGGAGGAAACAAGACAGGAGTAAACGATCCTGCATTAATACAAAATAGAATCACCAGGCGATAGCAACTAAAGCCAAAGCCAAAGAAAACCATAAGTAAAAGTACATGACACCAGCAAAGCCCTCCAACCATCGAAACAAAAACTGGTTGGTTTTACACTTTTGTACTTCATTTTCAAAACAGCCACTGTCTCCTTCAATGGCTATAGTTGCTATAGTTGCTAAGTGGTGGTGGGTGTGAGGTGGAGAATGGTGGAGGGAGTTGAGAAAGGAGGAAGAGAAATTGGTTATTTGGAAGATTGAATATGTAGGAAGAGAGAAAGGGATGGAGGAGATGAGATTGGTTAGGTGCTGGGAATTTGGGATAGTGACAGGGAGGATTTTGAGATTTTGGTTGCCCTTTTTCACGCCCTGGTGAAGAGGTTGAGACCAGCTTTTAGCCTAGGGTTTTGGTCTGACAAAATTGCCCCTCCACGTGAGTGGCACGTGGTTGCTCTATTAAAGAAGTGCCAAACTAGAGACCAAAAGACTTTTAGTCTTTAATTTATATCCCAAACGGCTATTTATATAGAACTATGGGCACACATCTAAGCATCCACACAAGAAATGCAGTTCTTTACCAAACAAAAGTTGAGCACAAACTTGTCAATGGATTCTTCCATATCCGAGATGCCCCAATTGCCATCCTTTTTTGTCTTCTTAGCTTCTCTTTTCTTCTTATTGATGCTTTTCAAATATTGGAAGAAATCTCAAGCCAAAGGCCTGAGCAAGTTGCCTCCTGGGCCAAAGCAGCTGCCTATTATAGGGAACTTGCACCAGTTGATTGGTGCCCTACCACATCATGCTGTCACTGACTTGTGCAACAAACATGGTCCTGTCATGAAACTGCAACTGGGGGAACTTTTTGCCGTGATCATTTCATCACCGGAAGCAGCCAAAGAGGTCTTGAAGACGAGCGAGATCAGATTTGCTCAAAGGCCGGAAGTGTATGCAGTTGAAATAATGGCATATGATCATTCAAGCATCGTGTTTGCTCCTTACAATGAGTACTGGAGACAACTGCGAAAGATATCCGTGATGGAGCTCTTAAGCGCTAATCGTGTCCGATCGTTCAGATTGATGAGGGAAGAGGAGGTGTGGAATCTTGTCGAGTTCATCGCCTCCTCGGAGGGACATACCATAAATTTGAGTGACAAGATATACACCATGACAAATGATGTGGTTTCTAGGGCAGCATTTGGTAACAAGTGCAAATACCAACATGAGTTTACATTATTGCTTGGGGAAATTATACTTCTTGCTGGAGGCTTTAACATCGCTGACTTGTACCCTTCTCTTACATTTCTTCGTTCCATGAGTGGGATGAAGCCTGCATTGATGAAAATTCAGAACAAAATTGACGAGATTCTTCAAGATATTGTGAGGGAGCATAAGCTGAAAAGAGAAGCTAGTATAAAAGGCTTTGGTAGGCTTGGTGAAGATGAGGAAGATCTGCTTGACACGCTTCTGAATTATGAGGGGGCCAATAAGCATGAATTTCATCTCACAACCGATCAAATCAAAGCCGTCATTATGGTACCATCTCTGCACTCTAGCAATAATTGTTTTTATTGGGTAGTGGGCTTGTACCTCGAGTCGTTAATAGATATTATTTGTGCATTTGAGTTTTTGTGTTCGAATCCCTCCCCCAATATCTCTTGTATTTCTAAATTCCTAAGTTGCCTAAAACATACTAAATCATCTAATACACTCACACAAGCTCTAATGAGCCTAAAAATTATTATACAAGAACAAGGTGTTTAGAGATGATGTGCTTAGTGGTTGTGTTTTTTCTTCTTGGTGTATTGTTTTCTCTGTCGGATATTCTCACTGTCTTGTGGCCGTGCAAAGGATTATGATTTCATAGTAGGACTCTCTTGTTAGTCCATGACATGTGTGGTACTCTTTCCCAGTGACGGATCCAGAATCCGAACCCCATAGGGTCATAGTGTAAATGTTATGAACCCCGTAAAATTTCAAACCAAACTTATGCCAATTAACGAAAAAAAAAAAACAAAACCACAACCACCTAATCAACAACATACATCATCCTTATTTTGATATTAGGATTTAGAACTTACTTGAAATGCGAAATATCACAATAATAGTGGCACCACAACATGTAGAGGACGGCGGCATAACTCAGACGATAGTGGCAATACATCAGCGGCACATAAATTAATCCAAATAATAAATCACATTAATTAAATAACACACCAATTAACCAAAAAAAATCCAAAACTCAAACCAATATAATCAATTAATCAACAAATCAAAACAATATAATCAAGCCATAAATTTAATTTCAATTCAATTAATTACATTATATATCATAATTTATGCTTAGGTTAGGGTTTGGGATTGGCTGGGTATCAAGGGTTTTGTTTTTGTGTTGGGGTGGGGATAACTGATTGGTTTTTTTTAATTTTAAAAAAAACACCTTAACCAAAACGGTGTCAAATTTTAAAAAGAATTCATAAGTTTTTTATAAATATATAAAAAAAAAGAAAAGAAGCCAACGCTTCTTCTTCTTCTTCCTCACACTGCGGATCACTCCTCCTCTCAGGAAAATAGTCGAGCAACTGGAGGGTGTCCCATGGGGTCACACAATCGGCTTATGAGGACCTCAAAGCCAATCGTTTGACTCCAATGACCCCATTGTGGCTTTGTCTCTGCTCTTTCCTACCTTGAGGTTTGTCTCTCAAAAAGGTTTAACGGGTGTACGCTACTTTGATTCTATGAATGAATTCCATTTCTAAAGAAAAATTGAATCCATTTTATTAGTGGAGGATCCATTTTATCCATTTTCACATCATTTGAAATCACCAATTCCTAACTAGATTATGTAGTTCGCTAGCTTAGTGGTATATGCATCATTATGTGGTATCCATGCGTCAACTGCCACCTTATCTTACTTTTGGTTGAAAGAAAAATGTAAGTATGCTAATTTCCCCAGCTTTAAATCGAATTTCTTCATTTTCATGTGGTAAAATCTATGATTTGTTAGCAATTTCATATTTTAAAACTCGGTATTTTAGCAACTATTAATTTCTAAAAAGGTTTTCTTGTTGGGAAAGGAAACATATACAAGCATATGGATGATGTTGTTAACATTGTTTGAAA